ATTTATATAAATAGATATTTTTAAATATATAAATTATATTTTAATCTTTTTTATAAATAGTCTATATTGTAGTAAAATATTATTTTTATTTATTAATAATTTATTTTAAAATATTAAAATTTAATTTATAAATAATTATGATAAATAAAAAATTAAATTAGATAAAAAGTTAAATAAAATTTTAAAAATCCTCTTGTTGAAAAAAAATCTCTAAAAATATTATCGCGTGAGATGAATGTTTGTGTTTGATATATGGATATTGAAGTATTGATTTTTTTTCTAAAAAAAAACATAAAGATAAAGAGAAAAGAAAGAAAAATGTGTTAAATTAGTGTTTTAATAGTTCCTAACGATAACAATTCTAAGCTATCATGGATTTTAGCTTAAAGTTAATCTATATTTAAAATCAACCTTAAATGTATGTATTAACAAATTCTCATTCAAAAAACTTATAAAATATGATAAAAGTTTCTTATTTTAAAGACTCTCTCTTAAAGCCATTTGTCTTTCCTATGCAATTGCAAAACTTTAAACCAAGACTCATCTCACGTGACCAATTCTTAGTGAAAACTAGTATCATGAAGCTTCAATTTCTTTACATAAAAATATTCTATCTCCTCACCCTTTGTTTTTAATAATGCTTTTTGTGCTAATATCATAAGCTAAAATTTCCTGTGCAAATTAAAGAGACAGAGGGGGAATATCGCAAATCTGAGGCTCAGATTGACAGTGGATTATAGATATTTTGATTATATCTGAATTTGTTTTCAGCCTTACATGGTTTCAAAGAGTTCAAATATCAATTTCAAACAATACTTTGTAACAAAGACCAATGACATCATATTCATGCAAATTGCGAATGTTTAGTAGAGAGGTGTCTGTCTATTTTGGAGACAGTAATTCATACCAAATTCAAAAAGCACCATTAGTTAATATTATTTAAAATTTTGCTAATTGTAATTAACTCACTTAACATAATCATGACCCCTTCTTGTAAGGTTCAATGAATGGACATGGTATATAATGATAGATGAAGAAATAATACCATGTTAAATTAGACATTTACTGCAGTAGTTATGTCACTGCATACACTAGTTAGGCATCAAACTTTAAGTACAAGCCATTATGTGCTATTTTCCATCACATGGTGTGTTACTTTTGCAGCTCCCACTTAAAGCAGGACCCTACAAACTTTGCCCAAACAAATCTTCCCTTCATCACATTTCTTTCCTTTTCTCATTCTGTCTTCACTGTTTATATCCCACCAATCTATGGCATAATTGGCTCTTGTATAAGTGGCCCCCATTTCAACAGAATCAGGAAATTTTTTGAAATAATAATACTAATATTTTTTTATAGTCCAAACAATGTCCCAAAACAAACAATAAAAATTAATTTATATTTGTATGATGTAATTTCTACTAATTAAATATTATTTTAATATTGATAGAAATCGATATTAAAAATATTAAATTAATTTTCTATATAGCATGATTTAGGGTTTTGTAAATAATTATTAGATTAAGAGACTTAATTATTATTGTATATATTATTAGCCTATTACCTAGACATCCTCTAAATTTGCATCAATTAAAAGGTATGATGGGTCCTAGCATTGTTAGAAGATAGACATTAGACAAAGACTAGTACATAAATATGAACTTATAATTTGCAGAGAGGAGAGAGATGTAACAATCGAAGAGTAACATGTATAATAGCACCAATCAGCAAGATTTTTATTACTCAATTGGATTACTCTACTTTGGGAAAGTGACCAACCAATAATCATTCACACTTGAAAGCTAACTATACCCTCATTCTGAAAGCAATTGATGAAGTTCTTATGAGATCTCATTTCAAGATAATGCTATATACTATGTTATGATCCTTTTTTTTTTCTTGCCCTAGAAAACCCTAGAAGGTTTTTCAAGTTCAAAGCTAATAAAGCTTAATCTTGTTTAGAGAGAGAATTAATTAAAATGAATACATATCTGATGTTAATAATGATTTTTTGTCGTCTTAGTTAGAACTTTACTCTCACAGAGAACAAATTAGTGCAGCCATCAAATCTGGATTTTACCTTACCTCACCTAATAATGCTTATCGTGTATGATCATTACAAAGCTTTATTATACTTTTCTTTCTTGTATTCCTCTATTTTCATAATTACTGTTGTACTCCCAAACAATTCCTACAACTGGCCACCAAAACCTATTATTGTACTCAGCTTCGTAGCAAAAACACATGTAAGTGTAATCCCATTGGACCACTTTAAACCTAATAGCATCCTAAGATTCTTAATTAGGTGTATTGGGTTGTTAATCATATTAGTTTGTAATGTTATGCAATATCATGTTAGTCATTTTTGTTAAGTGTAAATTACTCTAACCTGTTAATTATATATTATTCATAAACACGTGTGCATACAGTTTCTTTTTATTTTTCACAAAATATTATATACAATGTATTACAAATCAACTCCAAGTTGCAAGGGGTTTGTTTTAACAAAGTCAAAGACAGAGGTGAAGAAATTCAATTTAATATAAAAATACAGATTCTCATTAGAAGTTGCGTGGTTGAATAGTGTTGTTGAAGCAAAACTTTTCAGTAACAGTTGAAGAATCTGTTCTTGATCGGTTAACCTTTTTTATATAATAAAAATACAAATTCATTGCAGCTAGTAATAGTAAATAGTAAAAGGCTAGGGAACAAAGAATAAGAAGACCTTAACAATATGCCAGTTAGTCCAAGTGTTACTCAGCTCAAGATGAAAAAATTAAAAATGAGATTAGATGATGGTTCAGAATTCAGATTAGTTGATTTTCTTATTCTCTTATAAATACATGTAATCTTCTAATGTATGATCATCATCTTTTTTCATATTAAATACAATGAATAATTTTATGGAATCTTTTTTATTTAACTTTATGATATGTGGCCACATCAAATGAGTGTTACTTGCAACGCTCATTGAGGTTGACAAATTGAATTTTCTACAAACATGAATCATCATTAAAGTCTATTAATAGTTGGCATTAATAAGATGAACTAGAAGAAATACTAATAATGTGCATAATCAGTAAGTGTGTGAAATTGGGATAAAGGCTCAAACCAAGATGGCTGATGGGTTGGACTTTCATTGGACTGAAGTGATTTTTTTTGTTTTTGAAATTTAAATTAAATGAAAGTAATTGAGTTGATCCATTTAATATGTGGGCCAATGTAAGTTCCTGTAAAGTCCTCAGAAGATTCTGTTATAACAGTATACGTTCAAGGACCTATTGGATCCATAGCCTATTTACACCCTACTGAGCAAACAGCAGCAACCTTCAGTTTCTGCAGTAATGAGTAATAACTCAAATTCCAATTTTTTTTTTTATTCATTTAAGTTGAATGAGCATGAATTTACCTGTGTAGACTGCGTCAAACTACATGAATGTACCTTTAAAGAAGTGTTTGGTACAAAAGTTTATTTTTATTTTTATTTTTTTTACTTTTTCATGAATATGTAGTTGGAAAAATTAATTTTATTCTTATGAAAGGTAGATGAGAATCTAACATTTTTAAATTAAATGGAAAGCCTTATTCCAGTAAAATGTATGTTACCTTTATTTTCCTATTTAATTTAGTAAAAATCATTGATTATTAAGTAATATATATATATATATATA